ATATATACTATATGTGCATAACATTTGCCGAAGAATAATTAAAAAATTAAGAAGTTATTAAATACATTTCTTTTCTCAAAATTTGAAGCTACTGTAATAATTAATAACATATAATTTAATAACAAAAATTATTACAAATTAAAAATTTAAAAATTTTTTCTTATTTAACAATTATTTGCCGTATTATATAATATTCTCTTATGAGAGAAATATGAAGAAAGAAGAACGCTACATCGATGTAACATGTTTCATGTATTCTTCATAGAAAAAATTTTGTAATTTCTTCTTCTATAAAGAAATAACGTACCAATTATTTTCCACTTTTTTCATTATTCCGCTTCGGGCTACAATTTAAAAAAATTGACAGAGGAAAGCATACGTAACGAGCTGTCGCTCGTTAGTAACGTGCTGTAATTTTCTGCTGTATTTTATTTCACTCCTTACCTGATAGCATCAATCATTTGCAGCCCCATGTTCACGCAATTGTAAGCATGATTTGGACGGGACACCGGAAGCCCGGAGACACAATAGTAACAATCGCCCAAAATCTTGATTCTCATGCACTGATTGTCCTAAAAATCGTAAATCAATTTATCATTTAATATGTCCCAAAATTATATGTATATATCATATAAATATATTAAAATTCAACTCGAATCTAGATAATTACTAAAAGAGGAAAACGTAAAGCAAATAATTATAAACAAAAATAATATACTCTTTTATATAATAATTGATTTCTTAGTAATTGTCTCGGCATAATGTATTTGTATTCTTTTATCAGATGCGTACAAAATTTTCGCAGTCTATTAAATATTCAAAAGTTTTACTGCATCGCGAGACGCGACGATAATAATTTTACATAAATATTAATGTTCTGGTAATTGTTAGCTAACGACAGTAATCTACGGAGAAAACACAAAAGCCATAATTCTTCGTGTTGCAATTATAGAATCAGTTTTGAGACTAAAAGATAATTTTCGAAAATAATATCTATTTATATAAGATACTCATTTGTATTTATATATATATATATAAATGTTTTGAAATAATTTATAAATTTTTCTTTACATAATTGTTGGTTTTTATTAATTATAACATCTGTTTAATTAGCATTCCATTGTCGATTCAATTAACGCTTTGTGTAAATTAAAAAGCCATGAGAGTGCAGTAATTTATATTATTAACTACTACAAATTTTATGATTCTATCGTAAATCCGTGTTTCGTTACAAATGTTCATTTTCACCGTAAATGCTATTCATTGTGAAAATGTGCCGATTGTAGAACTTGTTAATTAATTGTCTCTTTGAGAGAGTCTATTCGTCCAGAGGATGAGAATTATTCTCTTTTTCTTATCGAAGATGGACCTGGAATATCCCTGCGGTGATTTGCTTGCGTAGGTAGATAAATACGCTCGCAAAAGACGGAAAATGAACAGAAGCATTCCCGATGAAGCCACGATAGCCCCGCATATAAATTCCATCCATATAAATGGAATAAAGTTTTTCCATCTGCGACACTGTTGCTCGGTGTGTCGCGAGATGAATATCCCGCGTTCTCTCGACACAATTGGATTTCGAACGGTGAGGAAGGAACAAATGTGGAAAGTTGAAAGCCAGTATCCATTCGGAAAAAGCTACCGACGTCTATATAATATATGTCGCACCTCGTATCGTGGTAAAATAGCCGCGTAGGATTCAAAATGCCAAGAATAAAGTTTGGAATTTTATTCGGCTCGCGTCGCATCATGCCCGATTTATGGCTTATCTTGAATCTGACCTGGACTCGATCTCTAATCTGGATCGGTTACTACGATCTGATCTAATTTGGACCTATAATATCCATGAGTTAAGGTTCGATCTAAAAATAGATCTGTTTTCATCATCTAAGATGATATTAAAGATAAAAATTAGAAAAACTTCAGTTTAAATTTAATATTATATATTATGTATAATTATATAAAATCCAGAAAGATTTAAGTTCAAATCTAATATTATATGTTATGTATTTATATACAATCCAATTCGGGGAGATATCGTAGGATGTGTTTGGATCTATGTTAAAAAATGCAGAATTGAACAAAGTTTATCGCGTGATAATATGTTGCAAAGTTATTTATAACTTTGCTACAATATAGATATCAATAACATGGAATTAATATAAAATTATAAGAAAAAGTTTTGAAAGGTTTTTCGTTTCTAATATTATCCAATATTATACATATATGTGTATGTACCTGTATAATCGATTTGAAGCTAAGAAATTTTCAACAAGGATTATTTCTCGATTAAGATTTTTCTTTTCCATTTTCCGCATCGCTGTTTTATTCGTTTATATTTACCTGACTTCTTATTCAGTCTAATTTTGTCAACCATGAAATTTAATGAAACATTATCGAAAGAAGAATTGCTACGATCATTATACACATTGCGAGGCACATTATTATTTCTTACCATCGCTATGTTGAAAAGAAAGCAAAAGAAAAAGAATGTAAAACAGCTTCTAGATATCTTTCATCTCTGATTCCCTTCATCGTGCGTAAATCCGTGCTTTATCATTATTATTTAATATTATGTAAATTACGAATGCAGCAAATATTTGGAATTTTATGATGGTCAATATTTGATGGTAATTAAACGATAATATTGTTTAATACTACGGAGAAAGATAGCTATTTTGGAAGAATAGCGTTTTTTTCAGTTGAATTTGATTATTCATTTGAAACGATGTTTAAAGTATGTATAGACTTACACGACCGTAAAACTCGTTTAGCTTCACGAAATGTGTCGCAAATAAATTTTTTTCTTTTTTTTCAAAAGTATGTTTCCAATAAAAATGTTTGTGTATAATTGCTCTTGTATTTGATTTGACAAGGATTACATTTTTAGAATGGTGATTTCAATTTTGATAATTTCTCTCTATTATTGATTTGTTCGACACAGTTTCTTATTTAATTATTTTAAAATTGACATGTGTTATTTCAATGTAAAATGTTTTAATCAAATGTACAAGTAAGTTTTTCAAAATTCTAATATAAAATGCAAACACATAAAAATAAAAAATAATTTTGAAAAACAATTTCTTCCTTCTTATTAATCTTATTTTCTCTACTTATAAGGATTTAAAGAGATTATTTTTTATCTTTATTTCTTTTTGCATTTATTTTCTTGAATAAATAATTGACAAAATTCCAATATTTTAGCACATAATTTTATTCGAAAATTTGACTGTTTTTTTAACGATATTATCCCATAATTTCTACATCGTGAAATAATTTGTTGCTCGCAAATTGCGATTTATTGCTGAAAGTGGGCAATTACACGACAATTCAAGAAACGAGAAGTTACGAGCTGCAAAAGATTACGTCGAATGTATCCGAGTCTGAAATCAGCGCCGATAAATTTCAGTTTAGCCGGCAAGGAAATTGAATTCGAAAAATTTTGTCATCGTGATCTTTCGCCGATCGAAAAATTATGAAAATAACCACCGTCTTTCGAAAACAGCCGTGACTAATACAACGCAAACATATAGTGAGATTCTCTTAGACGCGGAATTTATCTATGGCATAATTCCATCATCGATCTGCATGTCTTTGCCACATTTTCACCGTTATTACGCGATGAACATCTGGAAGTTCGTTCTTTACTCGCGCGCAGTCATAATAAACAATTATACGCGAATTTGTTGATATTTCACGAAGATATTCGATCGCAATATATCGGACATTTAATCTTTCTTACAAGTAGGCCTAAGAACTCCAATATTCGATAATTGGAAATTGCAGCAATTAGTAAAAATTTTACGTGTGAAAAGTTTAATGACGCATCTCTAAAGAACTCTGAATATTCTTGGAAACTCGATAAAATTGATTGTTCAATTAAAAATTCGATATTCTCGGCTTTTATAGAGTATAATAAAGTCCAAGTTTGGCAGGAAGCCAAATTTTCTTATTTCTTTCAAACAGCAATGTAAAATCTGCGTTTAAAAACATAAAAATTTTTGTATTAAATATTTTATAGATAATTCTACTAAAAATCAGAATTTGAAATATAATTTTTTATTAATTTTAGCTTTGTTAGAAAATTAACTTGTATCAAAATTAACTCCACTGTTTACGCGCTCTCTCTAATATGCGGCAACATTTATCTTCACAAAATCTTATCAAAACCGCAATTTTTGTCGCAAAAGCAACAACAAATCGCAAAAATAGTTATTCGAGACAATCAAACCTAAAACGACTCAAATCGCACGTGTTAGTTGTTCGATCTTTTTGCTCGGTCAGCGCGAAACGACGCAAGCTCGGAAATGAAGGAAAGACGATCTGCGAAACGACACGCGCTCCGGTTATACAGCTGCCTGCGTTGAATCAGCGTGTACCACTTGGATTCATGCCGCGCTCGGGTGTGACGCCATAAGTCCTTCCGGCTACTATAAAAGCAAGTTATGCGATCCCGTAAAGAGCAAGAGGCCTTGGGCGTTGGTAACGTGACACGTGACCCACAGTGTGTGTGTGTGTGCGAGATTTAGCAAGTCTTACATTAGCCAGCTAATTCTCGTTTCGCTAGCTAAGTTCCTAGCTAGATAGCTCTCCGATCAAACGTTCGGCTTTATGAACAATTACTAAAACTCGCTTGATTGATAACGTTATTGATTAATAACGACAATATTGCGGTCGTGGGAGAGAATTGAAAAATAAATAAAACTTGATTTTAAAAGTCCGCTCGATTGCGGATGCAATCTCTTCAACGCCGGAAATGCGTGTTGTATATTTATTCATCAATATTAGCTTTTATCAATTTATCGAGTTGTGTGTTTACGTGTTACGTTTACAGTTTTGACTCGGCAAATAGTTTTTAAAATTCTGCAATAAACGATGGAAAGTAATAAATAAAATAAAAAACTAATAACCAAGTTGTAGGCTTACAAAATATTATGGAAATAATTAGTAAATATCATTTTTTCAAGTGATCTGTATTTTTTATACGAAATTGAATATTTCGATTTTTTGGTAAAAATGCTTTACATTCCTCCAAATGAAAAAGTTGCAGTTTCTCTAAGAGTGTAAAGATATTCTTTTTTATCTCAATAAATTTTTTTTGATATGCTAATAAAGCGTTGCTTTCCCAAAAATTCGAGAATATTGTTTACTATCATGTTTCATTGTCGTTCCGAAAACAATCTTTCGCGCTAATGTAGCATGACGTGAAAATCCATGCTTTCTCTTTGCCAAGAGAAAGAATACGAGCGGCATCCGATTATGAGAGAGAAGTACGCAATATAACTATACATTTTGTCTTCTCTCATAGCTTTATTAGATTGTAGGTTTATCAGTCTAAGAACTTGTCTTAATGGTTTTTGCGGAAAATCTATAGAACGGCATAAAAGTACATTTTTAAGCATTTTCATTAGAGTTAAATTATTTCATTAAAATGCAGAATTCCACTTTCATATTTAATTTTTTATGTATGATCCTAATTAAGTTTTACATGTTAATAAACCGTCGTTTTTCATTAAAACTAGGAAACATGGTATTATAAAAATTTATCTTCAATTTTTATAGTTATTATTAAGTATATTTTATTTGCTATTACATTGTTATACTCTACATATTCAATTTTTTATGTAGATAAAATTTTAGTTTGAAAAAAGAAAAATAAAAGATAGCCGTTAGCGCAAACAAATTGCATTTTGGGAACGAGAGTCAACAGATATGTAAAAGAGAAACTTTTCATCTTCATCACTCTATCACGCACAGTTTGATTGAACATTCAATATTTGTCATAAAAGTGCAACCTCCGTCATATACATCATGTTATCTCGTTTATTATGTTTTAACCCAACTGATCTATCATTTTTGCAGCATTCTACCACTGCAAATTTCAAAATGCATTGTGGACATCCTTTTTTCGATTTTCCATTCTCTTTCATTTCTCTCTATGCTTCCGTATTATTTCCTATTATATTATGTGAAATATATATATAGTGTTTTCTTTAGCATGTGTGTTTTTACAACAATATATAACGCTACGCAATATACAACTCATTAAAAATTTGAATTATTTACATAGTAATAAAAAATAGAAGGCACTTTATTGAAATATATTTTATTTTAAAAATGTTTTACAATTGGATGGTCATTTGTTATTTAACGTGAAAAGACTATAGTTTGTATACATCAAACAAAACTTTTTCAATAAATCAGAAACTTTATTTAAAATTAAAGTTAATCTTTTAATTTCCATTTTTTCAACAAAATTAAAACTGTAAAAGCATTGTGGAATATACATATTTATAGCTAAAGCTCTAGGAAGATGTAAGAAATTATGAGTTAGAGTTAATTACATAACAAAACATGTAATGAGCCTAATAATTGTGAAAAAATAAAAGTAAGTTTTGAGTTAATAGAATTTTTTAGTGTCCGCCTCTTGCATATAAAAGAAGATAAGACTTTTGCTGTTTGCAAATACTGAATTGTAATAAGTTTCGCAATTTACAAGCTTAAGAAAGATGTAATTTTTAATGTATTAAAACAAATACATTTAATCGAATGGCACTGTAATGGATTATGGCAAAATTAAAATATAAACATTTATTACGCATAAATAAAATAAAAAACAAATAATTACTATACTTGTATTAGTTTATATATTTTATGCTTTTCGATGAAGATTTATTTATGTCGAGTCGCGAATCGAGAAATTTATTTAATCAAGAGGAACTCTGTTTTAAAGCCGTGTTGACAGATTGACGGAAGAATTCAATTTGCCTGCGCTGCTGAAAAATGTTGTTTGAATCGTTAAACAGAGGTAAACGCGCAAACTAAAATCAGAAATATTCTTCGAGTAAAGCTTATAAATATCGGATAATTTTTCAAATTGCAGCATTTAATGTAACAGATATTTCTTTGAGTCACAAAAAATTTTTATTAAATATTATACACAAGCGGAAGATTTTTTCTAACTAAAACTAAAAAATTGTTCTCTCAAAATATCAGAAATTCTCTTATATTAAAGTTATATTAAAATCAAATGTTCGTATATTTCGGGAAATAACATTTATTGAATTGGAAACGCGTGAATATTATTCTCCTATAAATTAAAAATACACACTTTGTGTCTTTCTTTGCACAAGATATAGACGATCGTATATCGTGTCTGTTGGTAAAGGGGGTAAAAGGTTTCAGAATTTTTTTTTGTTCTGCATTAATGGATCCTTAGTCAATCTAAAGTTAGTAAATAGCGATATCAACGATAATATACCTAGCAAAAAATCTAGTTGCGACGAAGTGTGGCTTTCTCTCTCTTTATCAATCCGATCGAGCGTCGAACGTGCTTGTCTCGCGTTGAAATCAAATTTGGAAATAATGCGAATAATTCTAGACGCGTATTAATAAAAAAGGAGAAGTGTGCGATGAGAATATGATGCGTATTGAATAAAATTTATTTTGTATGCATTTTTTTACACAAAATTATTTGTATATGCAATTAGAAAAGCGTTTTATTAAATTAAAAAGTTTATTTTTGGTTACATCGAAAATTTAATTGAATATAAAATAAGTTAATTTAATTTAGACTTAGTTTGCTCTTACCTGTGCTATTTGATCAAACCTGCCAAAGAGTTCATTAAGAGTCTTTACGAGATCGGAAGCTGAGAGCTGCTCTGATAGAGGTGTAAAGTTGACGATATCCGCATAGAGAATACTACACAAGAAAGATATTTTGTTTTCCAAAAAATTATATCTCTTGTGTCTTATAAAGTTTCCCAAAATATAAGATATTTAAGATATAAATGTGAGATTTTACTATTGTTCTTTTATAAATATATTTATAATTTAAGTTTAATAGTTTATATTATGTATCTTTTTTTGCAAAAACAAAAAAAAACAGAAAATATGTTTAATAAATTATTTAAAACTTTGTGAAGAAATATCAATGTAATCAAAGAATATTAATGTAAAGATTAAACTTGAATTTGTATAGATAGAGAGTAATGTACTTTTAATTTCTCGCAAGAAAGTATTTTAAAGAAACGAATAAAATTTTATATTTTCAATATTGTGCATTTTACATTATCTCATTAATCTTGGAAGCATTTGAAAAATATATTTTAAAGCAAGAAGCGCATATTGAGAAAAAATTTGCCTTTGATCGATCATTTAAAGTGCACACGAATTAAATTGGATGCTGCACAATCGCGCGCGCTCGTGATTTAAATTCAGACATCGCTGAATTGAGGCATAAAAGGAAGAGCGATCAAAAGCGATATGCGACATATACTGCGTGCGTTTAATTCGATGTAATCGATATTTTTTATTATCTTTGATCTATATAATTATCGAGAGAACTACACATATACGTCTCTCTTTTAAAAACACTGATTAAATTATTTCTTTCTTGACCTTGTGCGAAATACTTCACATTATTTTTAACGTTACCTTTTTCGTTGCAGATCGATTCGAATGAATATTTGTATATGAATAAAATTTGTGTATGAATATTCTTATAGTAAAGATATCAAAAAACATTTAAGATTTAAATGTTGATTCTCTTGTAGAATCAAAATTATATTATAATTTATTCGGATATTTATTTATTTCGAATTTGTATAGAAGAGAATGAATTTTTGGATTATGTCAATTAAAAAAATATCGTCCGTAAAAAGTAGAAATCCGTTTCTTCGATCCGATTACGATCGAAGAGATGGACTATAAATTTTAATGACGTACCTAACGTTATTATGTCGCTGTACATACATCTCTTGGAACGTGGTTTGCTTATGCTTATTAGCTTCCTGACAAGCATCCGCCATTTTCAGCATTATACTTCTTTTTACCTACAATAAAATATATTATAATGTACTAATATTTTTTTTTTTCAATAAAAACATTATCTATATATGCATATAGTGGTTTTCTATAAAGATAAGTCTCGTTACGTAAAAGCTTTGTAATAATTAACTTGACTCTCCATTATATTTAAATATTATGTTTATATATTCTTATGAGAGAGAGAGAGAGGGAGAGAGAGAGAGAGGGGGAGAGAGAGAGAGGGGGAAAGAGAGAGGGAGGATACAGAGGAAGATGGGGTTGAGATGAGAGGAGACAGAAAGGGGTCGAGACGAAGAGGGGAAAGTCGAGGACTTTACTAGAGGAAATAAACAATGGGTCGGTAACCTACGTTCGGCGTGGTACACGCTGCCAGAAAATTACCCGAGATACCGAATAATGGTGTGTGTGCGAGGAGACGAATCTCTTATTCTTCTTTTCTCTGCTCCTCCTACGCTTTTATATTCTTATTGGTTTTTTTGCTTCATTTTTTTTATTGGAAAATAATAACCACGAGTATTATGCATGGTGGCGGTTGGTTTTATATTTCTTTACATTTTTGTTCGCAACAATTTTGGAGAAGTGTAAAAATAAATGTAATCGATATGAGAAGATACGCAGGTCGGTTGTAAATTACGCGTTAAATTATAGATTGATTGGGATTAATTTATGCATTAATTTTAATATCGAGATATTGAAATTTTACCATTTTGTCAGACGAAGGAATTCATCAAATCTTTTTTTTTTTTATTCTCATTATCCGTCAAAAGAAATGAAGCAGGATACGGTCCAATACAAATCTAATATCAATTAAAAACTTTCCCTCGCGTACAGAGCGTAGCTCTATGCTCTCCTCGCGTTTCCTTCCTTCCAATTCTCTCGCGGCCGTTCGGTTGAGCACCGAAGCCGAGCCGGGCCGAGCAGAGTGGCGTCGAGGACACGTAGAGGCGAGGCAGCTTCGCGTAAACCGCAACCGACCAAGCGCGACCGACAGCTTCGCCAACACTCCGCGGCACTGCCTTATATTCCTTCTCGCCCCGTGAAAACAAGATAAAGAGCTGGCTGGCGAGCTGACGGTACGGAAAGAGCGGGCGATTATAGAAGCGAGGGGATTTACAGACTCGCCCGCGCGGCGTATACCGCGCTGAATCGCGCAAAAAGCGTACGGTCCTCGCGATAAAACGGAACCGCGATCGTGACGTAGGCGCGCGTGCGCGCTTCATCGCGTATTTATTATATTTCATTAGGGGAGTCTATCTCTCTTTCCCATTCACTCGTTCTATCTCGTACGCGCCAGAGGCAAAAGGGGGATGGAACGTCGCGTATACGCGTATGTGTATTACCCATTCCGCGTCCCGCGAAGCATGACAATGGGCTTTTCTAATCCTCCTTTGGATTAAGGGTCGAAAGTGACGGAGAGAGGGAGAGAGAAAGGGGGGCGAGAGAGAGAGAGAGAGAGAGAGGGAGAGAGTGAGAGAGAGAGGGAGAAAGGGAGAGAAAGAGAGGGGGAGAGAGAGAGAGAGGGAGGGGGAGAGAGGGGGGGGGAGAGAGAGAGAGACGTATTGAAAATTTATACGAATTGAAAATGTGTGCATTATGCAATCTCGCATTGACAAAACATTGTGTATGCCAAAAGTTTTCGATTTAAACACGCAATCATTCATTCAAAGTCGTAAATTATTCATGTCGCACATTGATATCGTTATACAATTCGCATAATAACGCTTGCATTCGAAAACAACCGGAATCTGAATTGCAATCAATTTCAATAAACAAATCCGCTTTGCATTGTAAGTAGTATTAAAAGTAATCGATTCCTTAATAGTATTTTTTATATAGTGAGTTGCAAGAGTAAAGAAATATTACTAAAAAATAGTGTAAAATATACTAATAAAAAATAATCTCTTCGTTTAGTTATTTTTCAACGTTTACCTATAAAAACTTTATAATTGTAGATATATAGAGCTGCTAACATAAATCTGTCTATTTATACTGACTTGTAAAATTATATGTATTGTAGCAATATGTGGTATATCACAAAGATCACATATATCTAAAACTGACAACGTGCGAAGTTTGATGTCGCTGCGCCGAAAAGGATCTCATTGAGTATTTGCATAAAGGACGAACGTTTACACGAATATTCGTTAGATTCTAACGATAGATACCATCAACGCGTCCTCAAACTATCCCCGATGTATATGTATATATTACGTAACGTTATACATATACTCTCGAGCTCTTCCGCGCGCGGATGGACGTGTCTCTTCTCAGAGATGTAATTAACACGACCACGAAGACCTTTCGATTGATCGTTCCTATCCGCGCATCCCATAAATAACTGACATAAAACTTTCATAATCGTTTTAAACCATATATGTTATCCGTCTCTTGTTTCAAACGAGATCCTTACCAATCTAATTTCGCAGAGATAACTTTTACATCGATCTTTAATTACTTCTACCGAAGAACTTCTCGCAAAAGTTGATTTCTATTGCAGAGCGATATCTGTCTTAAACCGATCTATATCAGATCGTGCACAGATCGTAATATACGCAAAGTACGATAAAGAGACAATCGCGTTTAGAATTTAACTCTTACTTCTTCTACATTAGAGAAACTACTTACTTCTAGAGATGCAAGCACTTGCAAATTTTATTTCTGGAAAGATTTCGTTAAATTAATTTCTTGTAATTGACGCATATATATAGTTAAAAGCTGAAAATATATCATAAATAAAAATGTAATTAAACATTAATCGATTGATAATCGCGTATAATGACAAAAAGTTTTTATACATAAACATATCTCCACGGCACGCACAGCGAAGAACTCATCGCTTGAGCTTCCGTAATAAACTGTAATCTAGATTTTAATTGGATTCACGGAAAATAATTTCGCGCGATATATTTTTATAGCTCACCTCTGCCGCGATGTAGGCGGGAATAACGCTCAGCAATAATTGCTCCTGTTGCTCTCTCTCGCATTCTAACTTGATTCGCGACTCGATCACCGTCTTCGTGCCTGAGAAAGTTTTTCTATGGGCTGTCGTCGTCAAAATCCTATAGTACATACCTGCGAGGATAGCAGCCAGGAGAAACACGATCTCCACAACAATCTGTCGAAAAAAATATTTCTCCAAAATGCCTAATACGTGTATATCGATTAAAGCATATTCTTAAAAACTTCAGTTTTTAATAAATTCCAGAATATATAAATCGTTTGCTGCAGTGTAACATCAAAATGCGTTTTTTTAAAGTTTTATATATTAGTTTTCGCGATATACATATGTGTCTAATAATATGATTTTATTAATTAAAGCACGTTTTCAGAAATCCTTTATAGTAATTTCCTATTGTATGATTTCTTATATTCTTTATAATATATAATAGATCGATTAAAAAAAAAGATTATAAAAAAACTCAGCTACATTTACCTGAATTACATTATAATAGTTCGAGAGATCCTCAAATCTAAATCTTCTCAAAATATGCGCGAGAGCCAGGATACAGCCGATGTTAAGTGGTATTTGCCACCTCATTTTAGGCAGAATGGCGATTATTGACAGGATGCAGGCAAACAAGGGCAGGACTCCGCTTAATATTAGAATTCCTAGACCAAGTATGATGGAGGATGTTAAGCCTATTAAAATCCTGGATCGTTTGGAGGTCATAGTCGAGGATAATTGCGTGATCACTAAAAGTGTCAAGGATACGATGAACATAGTCGTCAATGTTGATACAAGATCGATCACGTGGAACAGCTTCTGAAAAATATTTTTTAGGCAAGATCAATTCTCTCTATGATACTACCTTCGATATTTACTTCGATATGTTTTATCAACCTATTTCTCTCTATTAGCTGTCAGAACTTAATTATTTTTACAATTTAAAATTTTCGTTAAACTTTATTTCTTCGAATCTCTTGAAATAAATTTGTCTTATCGACGATTGATCTCATGTATGTATCATTTTTTAATGTCGAGAGAGAAAATAGAAAAAAAATTTTTTCGATTTGAGATAAATCACGTTATTAATATTCCTTATACGTTTTTTCACGGATTGCTAATACGGAAAGATGAACATCATTTATTTTTTGTGAATCCAATCTTAGTGCACGGTGTTTTATGTATTCTTGGCGAATCCATCGATTTGAACAGCTTCTGCGTTACCTTTGCATCACCGATATCAATATTAATTCTTAGCTTCTGCTAACGAACATCCTTTAATATCGGGACACATCTTGTTAACTGATTCGCGAAGAATACGTATGCACAGTGCCGAGAAGCACCTTGAACCGATATCGATCCGTTACAAAGGAGAGCGCTAGATGGAATTTTAATTGAAAATTAATTACGGCTTCGATCGTCATCTTGTAATTTCTACTCTTGAAAGGTAATGATGTTTCAACTTAGGATAACTTGAACATTTTGCTTTGAATGAGCATTGATTTTCGAAAATAATGGTTTATTACAAAATAGTAAGACGGAATAGTAAGCTAAAAATCAATATGTTGAATATTTTATTGCTATATTAAAGTTGAAACATTTTAAATGACATAAAGATTAAATAATAAATTCTAATTCTTTTTTATTTTAGAATTTTTACAAAGGAGGATAAAAATAATTTATGTCTATTGTTATGTCTATTATATTTAAACAAAAGTTTCTTTTTCAGACAAATTCTTTTTACTGACAATTTAAATAATTTAATAGCAATTTAATAATTACTGTTTGATCAACAATTAAAAAATATATAATGTTTAAAAAATGCTAATAAATATGATATTTTTTGATTTGTTATAAAACACCGTAGAAGATTATCAATACTTACAGGATAATTGGTGAAGCATAGAGCACCTAGAGCGACTAGTGAAGCAATTGCGGCGACGCAAAGTGTCCCCGTGTAAAGAGACGCCGTCAGTTTCCCTTCGTATTTATCACGAAGTTCCTGAAGTGCCTTAACGCCAGCATCGCCACCCATAGCGTCGCCGAGACTTTCTGGAAAAAAGTCATATCTCTATATTAACTTTGTTGCATCCATATATTACATATGTAAAAGTAACATGTGTAAAAGAATTCCTAGATGTGGAAGAAAATTTCAGAAATTCGGAACACGTTGTATATACTTAATAGTTGTCGCGAAGAGATATCTGTCGGATTCACGTAACAAGAAGGTGAGGTAAAACTGCATAAAAGGTAACACACCTCCGATTTAATCGCTACTTAAATATGTTATAGGGGAAGTTTTTCTGAGTAATTTCCCGCAAGAAATTTGTGGGGGACGGCATTAGTTTAGGAGATATAACAAATTGAAGTGAACAATTGAAGACTTCTCTTTTGGAAGAGCTTTTATATCGCGATGCTTAGTATTGTAATTAAACGTTGTATAAAGTTGTATAACATTGCATTATGAAAACTTCAATCATAGTCAAGCTTAAGTAATTCTTTAATCTAAATACGAGCGAAATTTGTCGTAGATATGATACATTTTGTAGTCATATTTATATGATTGGCCTCTCAATTATTATGTGAGCATCTCTCTCATATTATTATTACATATAGATACAATAATATTTAATTAATTATGCAGTAAAAAAAGTCAGATCAAAAGTCAGGTAAAAATTCTCTTTAATATTCATACGTGTATATTGCTTCGTAACCTTAAAGTTTCCATTTATATATGCTAAAATTAGATACATGAAATTGTTATTTGTAATGTTATATTTAATATATTTATATTGTACTTTAATATATTTATATTGTATTAATATATTGCATATGTGTTTAATATTCCAAATTAAAAAGATTCATAATATATATTTACATTGTTATATCTTATCATCGACATATTATTTTAAATAATAATTTCTATATATGTATAAAAAAGCTTTCCGCAATTTTTGTTAAAGATCATTAAATTCCTTGCAGAAAACACATAGTTCTTGCATGCGCTTTAACAACCAACTCTTTTTGCCAACGATGATGGCATCCATAAATGTTAATTGCGAGTGGCTTAAAAGACGAGTAGAGAGAGAAGATTATGATCGATACATAGCGTGGAAAAGTAGAGTGAGCACAAACTTAATTAAACTGATTAATAATTTATATCCTCATTCTTAATTACAATTAGATGGAAGATACAAAGATAAAGTTGAAGATTGTAAACAAAAATAGAACACAATTCTTAATATTACTTGGAAATGTAACGTAAAGTTTTATTTGATCTCAAATTAAGCGCAACAAAATATAAGTTAAATAGAATTGATTTACTTTGTAAAACAATACAATTTTATATAAAGACATTATATATTTTTATTTATTATATTATATATTTTGCTTCCTCATAGAGGAAGCTTTGTTTTTGTGACAAAATTTTTTTTCCAGTTTTCTATGCCAATGTGTTTAGAATGTTCCAAAACTTCAAAAAATCAAATTTTTTTTTAATGTCTGTATGTATGTATATATGTATGTATGTATGTATGTACGGAATGTACATTGTACAATCTCTAACTTCCAATTTTTGAGATACCGGGCTAAATTTTTTTAAATGTATAGAGTATCATTAAAGAATGGTTAGTATTGAACTTGATGAGGATCGGTAAAAGGGTTAATTTTTTTATAAAATTTTGAATTTTTTGAGAAATGTCTGTACACGCTGTAACTTTCGCAAATTTTGAGATATCTTCCTCTATGAAAAAGCCAAAATTGAAAATCTGCCCGCTTGCTTTAAGGAGCTTAAACTTTGTGGGTGAAATAAAACGATGACGAAGCAATATGCAAGTTTCTAATTTGCACAATTTTCATCTTGTTTTAAATATTTTATTGAAAGAAATTAAAAAAAATATTGTTTTAAATATTTTATTAAAAAAAAAATAATAAGATTTCATTTGTGCTAGTATTTATGATCTTTAAAACAGATAATAAAGTACATATGTAATGGATATTGCATTCGCGTAATTTCATACAATAAGGGAGTACGTGTCGAGTTATAAGAGCAAACCGAATATTTCACTACTTCTCTCGCAAAATGTTTCTCTCCTTCGTCTTTTACCACTTTCATAAAGGACCTAATACTTTTATCGTGCGCTATATTCTCCTGTTCATAGATTTTATTCTGTTTCGGCGTAGAACAAAAAAAAGATTGATTAAGTTAAATCATTTCCAAGTTCGTGACTCTCGAAGTTTTAATATGATAATGTTCCGTCGATAATTTGTCCCGATAGAAACTTGATACGTGAATGATATGCGTGCGAAGGTGTTTTGAGAATGTCAAGTATTCAGCGAACATGTCCAGAAAATCGATCAGTGCAAATGGCAAGGATCACTGTAAAGTATCAGATTTTATGTTTGCTTACGTAGCATTTAGATTTTTATTTCAATATTTAAAATTTCATACAGTGTATATTTTAAGAAAATTATCGAATTTTTTATATAAATATCAGTTGCGCAAATATTCGCACAAAAAATATATTTATTTATTTTTATTTATAAAAAATATATATATTTTTGATACTTTCGTATAGATATATATATTTATTTTAAATTTATATTATATTTATATTATCTTTTCTCTCTTTCTTTTTCTCTTTCTGGTTTTCTTTTCATCCTTATTTTTTCAATTATTTTGATATTTTTTAAGCAGAGATCTTATAATAATAACTGCGTTTACATCATATCAATTCGCGGGTTTCATACATTTTTGAACATTATTATAATACACATCTAAACTAGTTTTTATTACAATAATCTTTTTTTTTTCAATCGTCACGAATGGCATAATCCATTGTTTGTTCGTTTATTGGATTTTTGTAATGAAAGCGTAAAAGTGTAATGAATAAAAAGGCGTAGCCGTGTATCGCGTGGCCGTGCGCAGCTCTACAGGTGCATTAACTTAATTGATCGAGATTGTCGTCGCCGACGACTAAATGAATCAAGCTAATCCGCTAATGAAACAAGTCGCGTTCAGACACGCGATCCGAGCTAATAGTTCGATAGAGTCAAGGATAACCGTGTCAATGATTCTAATTAGCTACCACTCTTTCGCGTTGATATAAGCTATGATACACGAAGGTGCGCAATTAAGCACCTTATTAAATGGATTATAATGTTCGGATTATCGATCGCAAAATTATTCCGCTCGGTTTGCCCAATTGCTGCATGTGTACTATATTGCCTCTGTAATTCGCAAATGTAAATCGTGATAATATTACGTGACAAGTAACGTAATATTACGTAGCCAATATTACAATAGAATTATCAATTAAATGAAATATAACAATAATAATAAATATAGAAAAAAACAAAATGGAAAAGATAGAATAAAGTGTATTATACATATATATTACACATACATAATAATAACACAGATGCTTCCCGTTTTTCATTTTACCGCTTCTTTCTACATTAATAAATTTTTGCGAAATAGTATCTTTATTATACGATATGAATAAATTATATGCAATTAAAAGACATCGCTATTCGTACAAATACTATTCACGCATTATATTGTTATTTTCCATTCCACTTAATAGTTTCTCGTAAAATGGAACTGTGCGACACTTCATTAAAATGCGCTTTAATTGGGCGTTCACATTTCTCTCTCTTTCTCCTTTTGGACATCGCAACTAGTCGTGAAATGCAACGGCGTGATAAACCGCTGTCTGAATCGGGAGAATTTTTCCCGAATGGAGAATAGTTTGCCCTTTCTCTGCATTCATATAACTTTCAATACTTTCTGCTCATCAATTGCACAAAAGTGTATCCCCGCATAGAAATCATGAGAATAACTTTTGCACAAAAGTGGCTCTGCATGTAAATCTGTATTTATATATAAACGATTCTTTATGGAGTAAAAAATATAATATTATTTTTAATATAAATACAATTTCTGATGAGAGAGAAATAAATTATTATAATTTTTTGCAATCTTTATCTAAATAGTGATCAAAAATATTATTAAAAATTATATTTTTATATTAAAATTAGTCAATTTTATATTATTATAGAATTATTTTCATTTAGTATGTACTAAGTTCTTTTTAAGTATTATAATTATGAATATTTTAAACGAAAGTTCTGTTTAAATAAATGTCAAAAGTTACCATCAGCTTTTTACTATATTTTTCAATATATTTATAATCCTTCCAATATTTACAATTTATACCAATATTACTCTTATAATAAACAGGTTTTGAAGTATATTTATACCGACAATTAGGAAGAAGATTGTGATTCGCTTGTGCTTTAATTAATGCCGTTCAAGTTCATTATTGTAACTATTAATATCGTCTCAAGAAACTCGGATCAATTTGGCGCAATTAGCACATCATCCGCGAAGTAAATTGCGTCATTATATAAACCAGAAACATGTCCTATCATCATCCCAAGTCTCTCTCACCCCCCCCCCCCCCCTGTGTTGATTACGAACTTCTAGTTCCGGAGTTTCGCGATTGCGTCGATTCAGCAATTATCGAATTCCGTATTTCCGTACGCTATGCTAACTTTGCGTTTTCGCGCTTTTCACTCAGTTTTTCGTATCACAGTGAACGAATTTAACGAAGGCATAACGTCGATGTCTGATATGCATGCGATGCACATGCGGGTTTCAAAATTCGAAAAAGTCGGCCGCTTCTTCATTTTTATCAATTTAATCTCTTAGTAACAATTGCAATTTTATCGTATTACTTTTAATATTCTGAGAGAATATCTGTTTTTTTTCTTTTTATCGTCTCTTCAATGTATCAATATATAAAACAATCTTCTTTTTTAATAATAACAGCAATAGGTTCTCTTTCTCATCTCAGAGTACAAAAAATTAAGTGGGAATAGTGGTAGATAAGAATCAAAATGTGGGTATTGATGTGCGAACTTATTATTGTTAAATTTTATTAACAAATATGCATTAAAAATGTACGTTTCGTACGTTTTTAACTTATTCAAATCATTTATTCAAATCATTTTATATAAATTTCCCTCTCTTTTTTCGAAAGAACTGAGTCTTACTTGAAGATAAAAATATAAACAAAACATTTCAAAACTCATTTCACGTGAAAGAGAAAACAAAAGAAAACACATTTATTTTACTTGTATATAATGATATATATTTAATATATGTGTTATTATCTTAACATGTAATATATATGTATCAATAAAATCCACGTTGAGAAACTTTTTCAATCGACGTTTGTTTCCAAGATTATTAAAAAATATACAAATTGCGTTACGTGCTTAAAAAAAAACCTAAACATACCTTGATGGCTTAATATCGAAGCGAAATTGTAGTCCATTTTTTCTTAATATCATTAACTTCCGTTTCTCGGTGCAAAACGCAAATCGTATTTTTGCGAAAATTTCAGGAAAATTCAAAGTAAATTTTTATTTCATCGTGAGAAACGATAGCGATGTCCAATACGCTGTTGTTTTCATATTTCGTATGCACATGTCGTAAAGCGTAATTGCGCGAAATTTAACACTAGATGCATCACCGAGCAACGATGCAACGATGCGACAATTGCGCTTCGCTGTGAGATACCGCGATTATGCGGCATGTGCGGATATCGCGGAATGTACATACATTTGCACACGTCGAACGTACAACAGGTATTTCACAAGGCGTCTGCATATCCAGTCCGGCCGCGACAATTCCCTGCTGTTTAAAAGCCGGCAATAATTGCGACGCGTTGGCAGCCTCGAACTAATTATCGCGCTTGTTTGATACCGCAGCCGCGACATGGACAGTCACTTGCCGCGTACTCGATTTTATATTTAATTGCAAATACGCACGAAGTGTGTCATTAGGTTAGCCGGTTGGTGTCTCGGTGCGTTATTGTTCCACTCGGGGATCGTCGTTTGGAATTAGTGCCATATTTACATAACTGGCGTAATCTCCACTCGACAGCGCTGTTAACCTTCTCCGTGTTATGCGCGTTTGTAAATCAATCTATATTGGATTATATAATGTCGCTTTTGCGATAATACAAGTCAAACGTGATTGACATCATTTTATTTTGAATAAATTAACAACATAGTCCCTCTCTCTTTTTCTCTCTGCCTTTGTTGATTTTCTCTGTAGAATTTAATATTGAAAGATTGATAAACTGATCAAATTTCACGTCATTCTATTTGAAATTGCGTTGCTTTTGCATAAAAACACGAACGATATACGCGCGTGACATGTTATATAAAATAATTTTATTCACGTTTTTCTTATGCTCTAAATGTAAATTTATTTCTCTTTGGTCAGATCGAGTACCAGGAATTTCATTGTCAAATGAAAATTACATATAAATGTATTCTCTAACAATAAGTAATATGCATGAAGCGACATGCGGGAAGATTCATTATGCTCGAGATGGGCATCATGCCATGCACCATCCGCACGTTTATTAATAGTGAGTTTTGCCGAAAATAAAATACCTCCGCATACCTATTGCATGTAATGGAGGAAAATTTCGCGGGATAGCTTTTGCATATCTCACATTGTACATAAATACATTTAGAGAAGTGTGAATCGATTGCCGAAATATACATATTTGTGTTTAGGTGTTTCTATGTCGCTATCTGTATCGCATCGTAACAAATGCGGAATGATAATAACAACAGAGTAAAAAGTGCAATATTTGTATATTTTTGCAGAAGGAAATACGACAAAAAGCGCAAAAAAATTAGATATTTAATATAAAATATTGCACCTTAATTTGTAAAAATTCGACAAAAATTTGATTCGGATTAAAAATTAAAAATCAAAAATAAAATATTTAATTTAATTTATCTTTGCAAAATATTTCATTAATTTAATATAATTTTTGGACAAAATTGTGGAGTATGCGTAAATTATCGAGAAAAGTAATAGAAGACACATTAGTAGATCAATGTTTTTTTGTTTGCCTCTATGCGCATTCTATTTTGTACCATTCCCGATGTATCCGTAGGATTAAAACAATCTTAGCTGTTCAAAGATGGCAAAAGCTTTCGATGCGCAAAATATCGCATGATACCATTATCATCAAGCTAGCAATATCATTAATGCATAACAGTAACATTTGACTATTATTCGGCACTGGAACATAAATAATGGTGTATTTGTAAGCTTGCGCCACCGTGTAAATAAAACTTTTGAATTATGAATGCGAGCAAATATTTTATTTGATATAAAATAAGATTAATTAATTAAAATAAAAATTAATTGGAAATAAAATAAGTTATAATTAATATATATCTGTATATCTTTACAAATCATAATTGAATTTACATTTATTGCAAATTTAATCATCATCAACAGAGTTAAAAAAATTAGAAACTTGCACATTGCTTCCTCATTATTTTATCTTACAAAGCTTAAGCTGCTTTAAGCATGCGGATTTTTCAATTTTTGCTTCCTCATGGAGGAAGCTTTGTGAGCAAAATAAAAATTAAAATAAATTCTTTTACCGATCCTCATTAAATTCAATATCAAACATCCTTTAATAATACTCTATTCATGTAAAAACATTTAATCCGATATCTCAAATTTTCTGAAAGTTACAGCGTGTAAAGACATTTTTCAAAAAATTCAAAATTTTATAAAAAATAAACCCTTTCATCGATACTCACCAAATTCAGTAGCAACCATCCTTTAATAATACTTTATCCATGTAAAAAAATTTAACCTGATATCTCAAAATTTGCGAAAGTTACAATGTATACAGACATTTCTCAAAAAATTAAAAATTTTATAAAAAATGAACCTTTTCATCGATTCTCACCAAATTCAATACCAACCATCCTTAAATGATACTCTATCCGTGTAAAAAAATTTAACCCGACATCTCAAATTTTCCGAACATTACAGCGTGTACAGACATTTCTCAAATAATTAAAAATTTTATAAAAGATGAACCTTTTCATCGATTCTCACCAAATTCAATACCAACCATCCTTGAATAATACTCTCTATCCATGTAAATAAAATTTAACCCAATATCTCAAAAATTGCGGAAGTTAAAGGTTGTACAATATATTGCGTACATACATACATATACACATACACACATACACACATACACACATACACACATACATACATACATACAGACAGACATTTTTTAGGAATATGATTTTTCGACGTTTTGGAACATTCTAAACACATTGGCATAGAAAACTTAAAAAAAATTTTGTCACGAAAACAAAGCTTCCTTTATGAGGGAGCAAAATTATAATCTTAATATATCATAATTTTGATCATACGTGCCTTTATATGTAAATGATTCTTGTTACTAAACATATACATATATTCGTTTATGAAAGATTGTATTATATTTTAGACCATGTTATCTACTAAATAAATAAATGGTTAAAACCGATTTGACAAGAAAAACATAATATTTCTATATATTATTAATTTCTATAGACAGACGGACGGACGGATGGACGTACAGATAGACGGACGGACAGATAGACAGGGTTTCTTATACATATATGCTTAGGATAGCTTGGCATTTGCGTATTTCCCATACGTAACTATATCCGGCTAGATGCTATCCCAACTGAAATCACATACTATAGTTAGCGAAAACCGATAGGACTCTGAATTCGGAAAGAGCGTAAGATAGAAACGACGCCGGAGAGGAGACGTACACTATTTCCAACAGCTCCAGCAAATTGTCAACGAGAATTATTTTCAATCTTAAAGGAATATTTTGCTTTATTTTTTTAAAATGACCAAGCGTTTTAGCTGTTTAACTTACAATTTATCATAAAATAAATGCAATAATTGCAACTTATGCAAAAATAGAATTCTAAGAAATAATCCGTACGAGAGAAATATAAACTGTCAAAAAGTAATTTGATTAAATCAATAACATCTTAGATATTAGCTTCTTTTCTAAGTGGATACAGCGTTATTAGGCTATCAGAGCCTCGAGATAAGATTTACGATTTAGATAAGCACTATATCTTGCTTCTTGTCCCGATTCGATGACTTTCTGCTGGATTATGACTTAATTGGCTTGTTTTTCGCCTTGTGCGAATGAGTTTCTATTATTTCGTGAAGATCATTGAAGGAAAGGTCGCGATAACGAAGTATTTTTACGAAGAGTGAGTATTGAGGGTAGAATTCATTGCTACTTTTCGATACATATCAAGAGCGGAGCGACGCGACGTCTATCGATTTGGTCTGACCACATTAGCTATAGTTTCACTGAATGGATCAACTTTCGAACGTGGATAAAAATACGGCATTAGATGGAACTGCAAAGATAAACTTTCGTATCTCTTTTCTTCTTTTGTTGTAGAAGAGTAATGTCAGCATGATTCAATTAATATAGCAAAAGAGTAAATATATCTATGCATATTTATATTTATTGGTATTTATATTAATGGTATTTATTTTGTATATATATATA